TGCATCATCTTATTTAATAAGGGATTTAATTATATACACTTGGAATAGTGCCTAGCACATTTGAGTGCTCAATACATACTAGTATTAGTTGCTATTTGATTAATTAAGCCACACAATAACCTTGTTATTGTGAAAGAGGAATCATTTATTTTTCACTTTACAGATAAGGAAACTAAAAGTGACCCAAAGTTGCAACACTAATAATTGGTAAGCTAGAACCTGAACCCAGGACTATTGACTCCAAAACTCACCATTGCCCCTTAGGCTTGGTGCATTTTTGGACCAGAGACTTGACAAGACTCTTCCCAAATAGGGCTCTGTTCCTTGCCGGGAGCCGGTCCATACTTGCTGTTTCAAGGGACCTGGCATATATGGCATACTGTTCTTAATATGTTTGCTCACCTTCTTGGCACTATGTGTTTTAACCAAGGTCTCTGAGAAAGGTTGTTTCCCCAGGTAGGGATTTTCCCCTGAAGTTAGGGAGGGAATAAAACCTCTTAACTAGTGCCAGGTGGGTAATTAATCACTTTAACTACGAACAATCATGCTTAAGCTACATAATCTTTACTCCCTGGAATGGAGATAAGAAACGCCCTAACCTTTGGAATAGAGATTGATAGGATTGAATCAACTGGTATAAATACAGATGTAATAAGACAGCAAGACACAGAACTTAGTATACGGAACCAAGAAGACAGAACCAGGAGGCACAGAACCTACACAGAACGTTCTCTAGAGACAGAAGAACTTCGCTGGAGAGAACATGGCAAAAGATCCTGGACAGAAACTGGCATCAGAACCTAGAGACAGAACCTAGCGAGAGAACATGGCAAAAGATCCTGGACTGAACCTGACTACAGAAATTGGCAAGAGAACTTGACTAGAACCTGGTGACTGAACCTGGCTGGAGATCCTAAAGCAGAACCTCTCTGGAGATCCAGACCAGAACTTGGCTGGAGATCCAGAGCAGAACTTCTCTGGAGATCTAGAGCAGAACTTCGCTGGAGATCCAGACCAGAACTTGGCTGGAGATCCTGGCTAGAGATCCTGGCTAGGCTGCTGATCAACTGAACGCTGCCTCCACGTCATTCCTTCTTTGCCGACTCCGTCCACACCTTTGGGGACCCCTGGACCCGCTGGGGCTGGACCCCAGCAGAGGGTTTAATCGTAGACTGTCTCTAAGCCAGACACTTTCCCCTGATAACCAGAAGGAGAATTAGTTTCATGTCTAATTCAGTGGAGGACTCTGGCCAAGTCATTTTACCTCTTTCTGGTGTTGATCCTCAGCAGCATTCTTTGCTTCTTTAAGACTATTTTCTCTCCAGTCACATAAGGGCATCTTCAAGGAGAGGCATGTGGAGTAGAGGCACATGCAGGGAGTTTGGGGTCAGACAGACTGGGTTTGGGCTCTATCATTGTCTCTGCTGAGTGTCATTAGGCATATCATTTCATCCATCTGGACCTCAGTCTCATAAGCCGGGTGTCATTAGGCACATCATTTCATCCATCTGGACCTCAGTCTCATAATTTGAAAAACTGGGATTCTAACACCTATTTTTCAGGTAGTCATGAAGATTAAGATGATGCATACCAAAGTGTCTGGCACAGAGGAGGTAGGTGTTTAATAAATGGTAGCTATTATTACTACTCAAACTGTGTCACCAGACCACATTTGATGCCTGAAACTCAATTTTACGGTTTAAAAAACATGCCTTGTGAAAAGAGAAAAGCAACTTCAATTCATTCAACTAATCTTGTTTGGAGCCATCATTCATAACTTATCCATTTAAAAAATGAAAACAAATAATGAACTTTTAAAAATCCAGCTGAGCTACTTTGTTGAAAGAAACATTTCAATATAAACATGAATAAGAAATACATGGGAGATGTTTGCAAACATGGCTTGTGATTTTTTTAACAAATGGGAGTTAGAGGAGAGGCAGCATGGGTGACAGGTCAGATTGGGAACAAGGTATTGGAAACTCAACCCAGTCCTGAGAGGAGGCAGTTTTGGGAAGTCAGATCTGGGTAGCTGGCACTGGGGTGGCAAGGGGTGTCCAGCCCAATATGGAAGGAGGACAGACAGCAGGGGGAGGCCTGTTTAGCCTCCCGCTCTTGTCCTGCTCAAAGGGATGGGGTTCCTTCTGATAGGCAGTCAGTGGACCACGGTGCCCCAAAATCCCAGAAAGGGAAAAGGCACCATGTCTCAGGACCAACTCTGAACTGTGGTTTGGAGACCAGCTTCTGGTTCTTGTGTGTAGGGAGAGGACACGGGAGAAAGGATTGCTGAGGAGGTAGGGTTTTGGAAGATGAGAATTGAAGCCATACAGATCTGGGGTGATATTCATCACTTCCTAGGGGTGTACCCCTGACCATGTTGCTTTCTAAAGCCCCTACATCTCTTGCAAGGTAGATGAGCTCCTAAGGATCAGTGTTTACCACAGCCCTGGGACTTGGCATCTGCCAATGCATTTTATTCCCACTACTATGAAGGAGAAAAATCCTTAACCTAGCCACTTCTCACCACCTCCTGCCTGCACCTGGTTCTTGCCACCATACCTGGCTTATTGTAATAACCTCCTAATCGGTTTCCATGCTTCTATACCAATGATTCTTCACTTGACAGCCAGAGAGTTCATGTTAAAATATATCAGATCATGTCACTGCTCCACTTAGTACCCTCCAGTAGTTCCTACTTCATCATGTACAAGCCAAAGTCCTGACAATGCCTAGGTCCTACCTGATTCCCTCTGCCTTTGACCTTGGGTGCTATTGTTTTTCCCCTTGCTCACCCCAGCCAGTTGGCTTCCTGACTGTTCCTTGAACATGCCAGGCATACTACTGTCTTGGAGCCCCTACCATGCTGTTCCTTTATCGGAAACATCATTTGCAGGTTTTTCTTACCTCCTTTTGGCCTTTGCTGAAAAGTCACCTCAGTGTGTCCTTTTGTGACCTCCCTATTTCAAATTGCAGTCCCACCCTGTCAGTCTCAATCCTCTTTCCTGCTTTATTGTTGTTCATAAACTGACATAAAATATCTTATGCTTATTTCTGTTTATTGTCTCCCACTAGATTTTAAATTTTATGAGAACAGGATTTTAGTTTGGCTTATTTATTCCTGTGCCCTCAGCTCCTAGGACACTGCCCAGCACATAGTAGACACTGTAAAACATTTGTTTCAGGAACAAATGATTATCATAGCAAAAGACTGGACTGTAGTTCTAGAGGAACATGGACTTGAGGCTGGTGGCTGAGGCAGGAACTCATCATCAGGAAGCACACCAAGGATCCAGTTACTCAAACTGGAACACAGGCCAGGGTGGGATCTGTGAGCCAGAGGGATGCCCAGACATCAGAAGTGAGGCATGAGATCAGAGCTTGGCCTGAAACCAGGCTGATGGAGAGTGAGTCTGGTTCTCCTGGGGTCTGTGCTGGTCCCAGGCCATGTGTCTTGGGGCCTGGGCACCCCATAAGTGGAGACAGAGGACAGGAAAGGCAGGTTGCCCATCAGGGCCTTCAACCACTTAGTAAATGTCAAGCAAAGTTCTCCTAGCTTTCAACTTATTCCCAGATGGAGGTGTCAGCAGATTCTCTATATTGGTACAAACTACAAGGAAAACATAAATGACAAAGGAAATAAAAGAAAAAAAGTAAAATGCTCATTCAGAAACCTGAGCTGAAAGATTGAGGAATGGCAGATGCCAGAAGCTTATGACTACAGGATATCTGTGACGTCAAGTGAGATACCAGCTGAGTAAGCATCTGGAGATTACATCGTCCTATGGATTTTTGTTTGTTTTTGGTGGAGATGCTCAGGTCAGCTCTGCCCAGGCAAACCTTCCAGCTTGGAGAGAAGAAAACGCTCCACTTAGCCAGCGAGGTGGTGTCTGCAGAAGCCTAGAAAGAGGAATTAGGGCAGGAAGAATTTGGCCAGTTTTCCCTGGAGCTGTCCAACGTACTGTCCAGGAGTTAAGCTCAACCTCCCTTCTCCTTCATGTTTCCTGAGAACCTATCCTGTAATTCAGGGTTGCCCCTTCCTGCCTCATTGCAGAAGAGCAAGTTTGTGGACATAGTCTGGTCCAACTCCGTCAGCACATGCCTGAGGGAAATGAGGTCCAGAACAATCCAAAGTCAGGGCATGGTACCTTCTGCCTGCTGGGGAAGCTGTTTCCCATCCTCGTTCCCACTGCACTATGTAGGGAGCTGTTGGCTCTGGGTTCCAGTCCTCCCTGGGTAGCTCTGTGTACTTTGAAAAACTGTGAAACCTCAGGGCATTCACCTTTAAAGTGAGGATGATAAACAATACTTACTAGCAATGCAGAGGGCTGTTGTGAGGATTAGATTGTAAGGCATGTATTAAGTGTTCAGGGAAGGTTAAACACCCAACCTTGTTACAAGGTCATCAGTTTCACCCACAGTGTTTGGTGCAGGATCAAGGGTGGTTTGTTTGTTTGTTTGTTTATTTAATTTGATGACCTACTGTGTCCCCCTGATTAATCACCCCTTGGGATTTTATATTTTCATGATCACGATTTATATTCTTCAAGTATGTAGAGACACACGGGGAGCAAAGCCCTAGATCAGATCACAGGACTGCTTTGCTTAAGATTAGCCAGTGTAGACCTGGCAGAGAGAGGGCTAAGTCTTGCGGAGCGCGCAGATCCCGGACCTGCTGTGGCCTGAGAACGGTGCTCCCACCCTGGGAGAATTTTAGGGCGGAGCCCTTCCAGAGTGGGGACTCGGGGAGGTCAAATGCCTGGAGGGGGCGGTAGCACAGGCAAGGTGAGGACTCCAGTCTTGCCTGGGTTTGGCAAAGGGCGGCTTCACCGTCTGGTGGGGAAAAGAGGGGCTCTCATCCAAGACTCCAAGGACCAGCGGGACACCGAGTACCAGGAGGTGTTCCAGCGCCGCCAGTGGCAGCGTTTTCGGCTGCCCCTCCGGGCTCGGCCCTCCCCTCTCATTCCTCCACCCCAGGGAACCCGCGCAGAGGAGAACACTGGCTGCAGGTGCCTAACGCCTCCTTGGCGCACTCGCCGCCCTTCCCAGCCAGACCTCAGAGAAGCAGTCCCAAACCACCGTGCAGGTGCTGCAGGAAGCGCTCGGGAAAGCAGTGGTGGCCAGTTCTCGTTTCCAGATTTCTGTCCTCGGATGTTCAGGTCCCTGGCGGGCAGCGGCAACCCGCGCAGCGGAGGGTCGGGGGCGCGTGTATGCGTGTGCTGGGAAGGCAGCCCTCCCCGCCGCAGCCGCAGCGCCAGCGCCTCCCCCTTCCCAAGCGCGCACGGCTCGTCCCCGTCCCCGGAGGCGGCCCGAGCCTCCGCTGAGCAGCCTCGCCTTCGCCTCCCGCGTTTCCTGCCGCTCGCCCTCCCCCGGCCCCGTTCCGGGAGCTGCTGCGGAGAGGCTCCCGGCGGGAGAGCGGCTCAGAGCGCGCACGGGGGCGGGCGGAGGCGGCCCGGTTCGGGGCGGCCGTGCGGGAGGGAGGCGCGCGCAGAGACGCTGACCCCCCTCTCCGCGTTTGCTCGTTTACTCCCCGCCTCCCGCACTCCTCTCGCTCCCACCCCTTCCCAGCGTGATTGATCCGTCACGGGCGCCGCTGCCGCCGCCGCCGGGGCCGTTCTGAGCCGAGCCGGAGCCGGAGCCGGAGCGGGGGCGGCGCCATTGCGCGGGCGCCGCGGGGAGAGCTCGGCGCGGGGCGGCGGGCCGGGCCAGGCCATGCGGGCCGAGTGAGCCAGCGCCCGCAGCCCGCGGCGCGGCATGGCTTCCCCGCGGAGCTTCGGACAGCCCGGGCCGCCGCCACCGCCGCCACCGCCGCCGCCCGCGCGCCTGCTGCTGCTCCTGCTGCTGCCGCTGCTGCTACCACTGGCGCCCGGGGCCTGGGGCTGGGCGCGGGGCGCCCCCCGGCCGCCGCCCAGCAGCCCGCCGCTCTCCATCATGGGCCTCATGCCGCTCACCAAGGAGGTGGCCAAGGGCAGCATCGGGCGCGGCGTACTTCCCGCGGTGGAATTGGCCATAGAGCAGATCCGAAACGAGTCGCTTCTGCGCCCCTACTTCCTCGACCTGCGGCTCTATGACACGGAGGTGAGTGTCCGGCTGCCCGCGCCGTCGGGGCTGTAGTGGGCAATGGTGTGTGTGTGTGTGTGTGTGTGTGTGTGTGTGTGTGTGTGTGGTGGGGGGAGTGTTGGGCAGAGGTAAGCTTTGGTCCTTGGGCAAAGCCCTGATTGACCCGTCAGTGCCTGCCAAGAGCATTGCCAACTGGTGCTCAGTGCTCACCCTCTGGTGTCCCACCGGGCTTGGCTGGCACAGCTGCGACCAAGATTTGCTAAGCATCTCACTCCTTAGGGATTGCATGTATGTATATATGTGTGTGAGGTGTAGGATAGAAGATTAGGATCTCCTTTAACCAGAGAAGGAGTAGATTAGGTGGGAACTGGATCCCCCCAAAAGGCCTGCATTGGTTTTCCCTGCCCAGGTCCCGCTGGTGGGGCTATGGAGTACCAGGTGGGAGGAACTAGCGCAATGACTGCAAACTGGGCCACCTGGGGCTGGGGAGGCCATTGGCCTGCTCGCGGGCCCCAGGAGAGCCGAGCCACGCTCTGAGGTCCGGAGGGCTCCGGACCCGAGGGGTCAGCGCGCGCAGCAGGGCTAGGTGCTTGGTCCGCATGGTGCGGATAGGTGTGGGGCCTCAGGTTTTGCAGCGCTGCCGCCTGGATGTGGCCGGAGCAATTTTTTAAGGACCCCCCCCCCCCCCCGCGCCCTTGGGTTAGTTGCTCAAAGAGTGCCCTGAGCAGGTCTTGCCCCGGATGCGCGGGGTACCCCGTTCGGCTGCGCTGCTGCTGTTGGCCCAGCGGCTGCAGGCACGGTTTCTCCGGGCGCAGACTTGAAGCAGGGACTTGGAGTGCAGCAGCGGTCTTGGTCTCCCGACCTCCTTCTCCCAGGGGAGCCGAATAGCCTAGAGCTTCCCCTCTCAAGCCCTTTCCTCACCCCCTTGGCTTGGGTTTCACGGACCTTCACTGCAGCTCGGGCTCTGAGTGAGGTGCGCAGAAGGTGTTTGGAGGACCGATTGTCGCTCGCGAGGTCGGGTTTGCGAGTTTTTCCGACTAAGGAAGCCCCCAGCGCTCTGGCCGCAGAGTCTGTGACGCGGCCTGAAGGGGGCAGTGATTTCCTGTGCAGTAAGCTCGGTTGGCGCCTCTTCCACCGCGCCAAGCCTGGCCGGGGCGCTGGGCTTGACCCCGGCTTCCTGGTGCTCTCAGGGCGCCTCTGCTAGAGCCCAGGTGCACACCCCATCCAAGAGGAGAGCCGCGCTGCCGCGCAGATCGTGCAGCCCAGGCTCTGCTTTCTTCTCTGTCTGGCTCCTTTTTGGTCCCTGGAGTAAGAGCAGAAACCTGGATTGCATACTATTCCCTGCCATCCTCCCTTCACGAACTAACCAGCCTGCTCTGCGCTGTAAATAAAAGGTGAAGGAACGGGTGACAGTAGTGGTGCGAGAAGGCTGCTGCAAGCCTAGAGGCTTCCTCTTCCCCAGGAGGATGCACACTGGGGTGGGGTTGGGGTGGGGGTGAGGGGGTCGGACTGTGCAGAGCTAACCCGGTGTGAAATCATTTTTGAATGACATTCCCATCGCCCTCATCTTTGTCCGAACACTTAAAGTTCTCTGGGGTACTTGCCCTGCACACATAAATGGAGAGGACGATGCAATTACACGGAGGCATGCCCTGTTTCTCTGTTGCTTCTGTGTGTGTGTGTGTGTGTGTGTGTGTGTGTGCCTGTATGTGTGTGTGCGTGTGTGTGTGTGTATATATATATATATATATATATAATATATATATATATATATATATATATATATATATATATATATGAAGGGACACATGAGAACTGGTTCTTTGGAGACAAAAACGTTTGTAGACAGGGCAGCCCTGCTTGCATCATCACCAAATATTGTCAGCTGCATAATGTTTTCATCATCCGTTTATCCCTCTAGAAAGCTCCCCTGAACGAGATTTCATATTAGCCTGTTTGTGGCAGTAAAGGGATGGGTGTTTGGTTTTAGGGCGTGGGTTGAAGCTTTTAATTTTATTTTTCAAGTGTGTCTTGATGACTTTCTGAGTGAGAGGGCCCAGAGTCAAGAGGATGAGGCAGTTAGGAGGCTCTTCAGATCGTGGGAATATGTAGAAAGCATTGGGAAGGAGGACAGTGGGTAGTATCAGTCTCCTGCAAATAGGATGCATCTCTATCTCTGTGAAGGGGAACAGAGCATGGGCTTTGGGGTAGATTGGACCTGGGTTCTACTCAGAAACAGGTTATCTTACCCCTGGGTGACTTTGAGCAAGGCATTTATTCTCCTAAGCCTAGATTTCCACATATGAAAAAGTGTGACTATTCTATGTACTCTGCAGGGTGGTGATGTGATGCTTAAGGGCGATAACAGGCCAGAGTGGAAATACCGTGAGCTGGCGGACTCAGCAGCCAGTGCTCTGTCTGGCGTGCTGTAAACACTAAATAAATGTTTCCTGCCTCCCTCCTCTTGTTTTCCTCTGGCATGGATTCACAAGTAAGACGTTGAGACATTGGGTGTGATAAAATGGTCACAACAGAAAGGTTAAGACTGCCTATTTTGTTTTCTTGCTTTTGAAATCTCATGAAGAATCAGTGAAGTTATCACCAGAAAAAAAAGAATTCTGGTTTATAATCAAATAATTATGTTATCTCCCGCCATGAGGTGTCACATTTGGGAGAATAGAATGCCCAAGTGATATAATACCTAATTTTTTAAAGTGGCCCATGTTTAAAGTGGAGGTACTTTCTTCCTGAGCTGAAGTAAAAGAAGGATTGGTCTGGGTAATAGCAGCAAAATCTATAGTCATCTGAAGAGTGTTTGGGACCTGTTTCATTCAGATGGACTGTCTTTGTGGATTGTGTTTACTCCCTAATCACTTGCTAGCTGTGTCACTTTTTGTCTGTAGACTTGAACACAGATGGATGCGGTGAGTTGATTTTGGCTGGCTTTGCTGACATTTGCTGTCAGTCAATGGCCAGAGACTGTGCGCAGCCAGGATGGACCTTTGTGCACACAGCATTCAAAGAGATGGAGATTTAGCAAGGAATGGGTTAATCCGATCATTGGGTCAGCTTGTGTCAGTAAAGGAGCATTCTACATGCATTTATCCAGGGTTGTTCCTCTATTGTAATTAGAACAGTGACAGAACCTTTAAAGCCCCATTCAGTGACATGTGTTTGTAAAAATGAAACAGCCCAACAGAGCATCTGCTAGTCAGGACCTCTTTTCTCTGGGGCACCTCAAATCACTTTAGCAAATATTTCTATATGCATTCCAAGAAAGAGTTGAATAAATAAAAACATAAACTGGACAACTGAAAATATAGGTAAAAGAAGCATCAGAAACCCTTTAGAAGCATTAAAATTGCTGTACCAAGAAACCTGGGCTAGGATGCTTATTGCATTTTTGAGTATTGCATTTTAACTCTGAGATTCCTGGCAGTCAAAGTAAAAAGGTAAACATGCTGGATTATATTTCTTACATGTTAGATTAAAAGCTTCTGAGGGACAATGTTGTTGTTTTTTAAATTTTATAGGAGATTCAGAAATGTTCTTCATGTGGTTGTTTCTCACTCTTTGGTAGCCACATTAATGAAATAAATAACCAAGAAATGAGTTTTTAAAAATTACTGGCTTTTCTGATTTGATTAATGTTCATTTTAGAAAATGGAAAATTATAGAGAAGCATAAAAAAAGTAATTTCCCATAATTCACCTACAGAAAGTAATTAGCATTATTCCCTTCCAGTGGCTGGTATTTACTAATTTATGTACTTATGCCCTTTTATATTTTGTTTCATTTAGTTAACATTATATCATGGGTATTTCTCCATGTCCTCAAATCATTTTTTTAAAAATGATTTTTAGTGGCTGTCAACTACTCTGTCTTAAGTATTAAATCATTCCCTTCTTATTGGACTTACGTTTTCCCAATGGTTACTATTTTAAATTACTCTGTAATAAACTTAGGAAAAGTTTAGGAGCCAAAGGAGCACATTCCAGGTGTGCATCTCTCCAGAAGTGTACCCTGATGCAAGCATAGATGTAGAAAACCTAGTGGTTGGTGATCACGTCCTTTCCTTGAGTGGCTTTGCCAACTATCTATTCTCTCATTCATTGTGCTTTAGAAAGAACTCAAACAACTGTTGTATGGAGGCTGAGTTTTTTAAGGAGGTCTGAATAGAGCTTAACAGGCATTAATTGAGTACCTACTGCAGTTGCTGGTTCTGCAGAAAGGAGTAAAACCCAGCCCTGGGCTCAAGAGGGGAGCTGTTGTGCAGGGGAGAAGAGTAAGGATATATTTGTCATTTTCAATGCAAGATAGTGATCGTGGTGATGGTTGTACAATTCTGTGAATATACTAAAAACCATAGATTCATATACTTTAAAGAATGAATGTTATGGTATATAAATTATAGTCCAATAGAGCTGTTGTTAGCAATAAAAAGATAGAAAACGATCTCTTTTAGGATTGGGCTCACGCCTTACATCCCCACTGCCCATCATGGTATCTGGCCCTTAGTAGGTGTATTGCTTAGGATTCTTCTTACAAGTGACAGAAACCCAACTTTATTTGGTTCAGATGACTGAAAAATCCTGGAACAGGCTGTGCTCAGGCATGGCTGAATCCAGAAACTCAAATGATATCTTAAAAAATCTCTCTCTCTGTCTCTTAGCTCTGATTTCCTCTGTGTTTGGTTTCACTCTCCAGCAGGCTCTCCCCATGTGGTGGCACAGATGGCCCCTAGCAGCTGCAAGTTTACACATTTCCAGTTTAGAAATTCCAGTAAGAAGTGTGTTTTCCACGTGTTTCAGGAAAAATCCCCAGATCAACTCTCATTGGCTTGAATTGGTCATATGTCCATCCCCATACCAATCACATGACACTGATGGGACTGGGACAGCTGCCGTCCTTTCATAGAGGTGAAACCAGCAGTTAATAGTAAATGCGTTTAGATATTAGATCACATAGGCTAGAGCAGTGGTTGGCAAACTGCGGCTCGTGAGCCACATGCGGCTCTT